GGCAGAACTGAAAAATGCGGTATTTGAAAGTGGCGCCCGAATTGCAGCATGGCGCCAGTTGTCCAAAATCCTACGGTACCAAAGGAGGGGTTTGGAAAAAGGGTGCCAGGCCGAAAACGGGATGCAGCCGAAACAGCAAAAAGATAGACCAGGGATCGAGCCCTGGCGGAGTCAGTAACACTTACGTCAGAATTGGTGAAATCATGAAATGCTATCTATTGTGAACAATTTGCGCGCGCACACGCACTGGAGGCCGAGGTGAGCAGCAGTAAATAGTCCTCGAGGGAAGTAATCAACGCTGCTGCTTGACGATTCCACGGCCGTACCGGAAGAAGGTGTTTAGTGGGAAAATTATGTAAGGGAGCCTGAAGCCATTTTTCAGCTGTAATACAAGCCACATCCAAAAACAAAGGAAAAAAAAAGCCTGCAGGCTAAATAATAAACATCTTGGAAAATTCAAAATTCTTAAAATAGGTTGTAAAATTGTAAAATTTACTGATTCTTTTATATATTGTCACAGACTCATTAGTATTAACTAAAAAATGCTTTAAAAAGCACACTTTGTGAAACAGGCGGGGGGGAAAAAAAAAAGGTGGACAACATGAACCGCATTTTTTTCTTTTTTTTTCCAACAATGTGGTAATTGATTAACTGTTCTTTTGCCTTTCCCTGTGCAGTCCTTTTTTTGCTTTCCTTTGCTTTGGCTTTTTTGAAGTTTTTTCGCAGTTTTTTTTGCCTTTTTATTGTTATTATTATGTAGAAGTTGGCTGCCTTTAGTGACCTTGAATGAATTGTTCTCTGTCAAGCAGGTCGCTGCTGCTGCTGCTTTTTTTTGGGGTGGGGGGGGGCTCTTTAAGTAGCATTGTCCTCATGAATATGCTCTTTTGTGTAAATGATCTGATCCTTCAGAGTGCAGTGAAGCAAGGAGGCAGCCGTGAAGGGGGAAGGGAGAAGGATTCTGAGGAAGATCCAGATGGGGGGACGTCATCTAGGCAGCCAATGGTGCAAGATCAGGTAGGTGGCAACCCGCACCCGCCTACCCCTCCCGCCCTCGCCTCCCCCACTCCCAAAAAACTAAAAAAAACACAAAAAAACATCAAAAAAGAGAAAAGGAATGGAATGCTAGGCTGGATACCGCCAGGTAGATGGGTGATGATCACCCTATCTAGGAAAGTGGCATCTCACAAGTCGATCACAAGAATCGAACACGCGACCTCCCTCTTGGAAGGGGCAAGCACTCAACCAAATGGCTAAGTGGACTGGGGTGAAAGTTAAGCCCCAAGATGAGCACTTAACCCCACCCCAGCACAGATTTCTCCTCGACCCGGTGTACCCAGTCACACACACTCAACCACAGGTCCTCGACGCAACCTTTTTTCCCCCCTATCCCACTTCTCCCCCCCCCCCCTCCGGGAAAACAGAACCTTAAGGTTCTGGCTCCACATCCATTATGGGGAGCGTCAGTTCGGTTCCTATTCCACCGAAAGAGGATCACGCCATCCTGAGCTGAGCAGGCTGGCTAATTGCAATGTATCTTCGTACTCACTTCGTAGACTTCCCCACTGAACCCCATACACAAACACCTCTACCACAGAGTGTGGAAAGACTTACTACAGGAGAATGTGGATAGAGCAGGCTGTCCTGTAAGTGGGTGGCCCTGTGATGGTAATAAATATGATTAATCACCCAAATAAAATTTAAGAAAAAGACACGGTCAAATGAGAGAAGAATATAGCTTAGTAAGCTGTGAAAAAAAGGGTTTTTATCATTTTTTTGTTTTTTTTAATAAAACAAAAGACACGGTGTGAAGGTGTCCTTGTTTGGTGCACTTAGGGGGTAGTCTAGTTGGTATACGACCCTAAACCCGAGTACGGTCTGAGGTCCTTCGTCAGGCTTGTGGGTAGGACATGGATATGGATAGCTAGTGTGAGATGTATTGAGAGAAGAAAATAGGGTAGTCAAAAATACAACTGTCCCCCACCTGAGGAGAAGACAGTTGTACTTTTTTCTATTAAACGACTAGTACCTTTGCCGAGTGGGAAAATAACGGGCCTTGGGTGGGCCTCGTTGGCGGCCGTCGTTTCGTTTTGGCCTCCTAAAAGCCCACTATTTTCCCACGCGGCAAAGGTACTAGTGGTTTTAAAAAAAAAAAGACTTAAAAAAAAAAAGAAAGACACGGTCATTATGGTCGTATCTGGACTAAAAGTTGTGTGTGCAATCCTCTGTCCGTTCTGGTTCTGTTGTGCTCTCTTCGGTTCGGTCCTGTCCTATCCCGTCCTGTTCTGTTTGTGCTGTTCTGTCTGCTTTTCTGTTCTGTCCTGTTCTGTCTGCTTTTCTGTTCTGTCCTGTTCTGTCTGCTTTTCTGTTCTATCCTGTCTATATTGTTGAGATTGTAATCTCAGTTTGCCCATCACTGGGTCATCGTCCTTGCGGGATTTGCGCTGTGCCATTTCTTCCAAATCAATCTGTTATCTGCCACGGTTGCAGTCTTTCCCTGTAGAAGCCATTCTCCCATGAAAGACCGTCTCTTGATGGCTAATCTTTCTGGTCTGGCTTTCGTTGTTGATGTCAGCTCCCTCCATCTGGATTGAATCTCAGTTTCCGCCATTCCCAGTTGTAGAATCCGCATTTCTTCCTATGCCACCTCGGTACCCTCGATAGTCTTGGTAGACCTCCTTTTCCAGATTACCCATAGAGCCAGGTTCCTGAGCAGGTGAAACCAGACTTCCTTGCCACCTTTGAGATCGTTAGTATTGTTGGAAGGAGAAGGATGTTCAGAGGAGTTGTGGACGGAGGGGGTGATGAGAAGAGGAGTGACCGTAGGTCGTGCACCTTGTTCCATATCCATGCTGCTTCAGTACAGTACAGAAGGCAGTGGGGTATATCTTCTGGGATGTTGTCCGTACACAATCTGCATAATTCGGAGCTGTCAGGATCCGTATGTTTCCTCCCTTGTGGAGCCATTGGCTAACCGGTAGAGATGAATGGGCTACGAGACATTGCATGCTTCGGATCCTAACCGGTCTAATAGACAGGTACTCCGTCCAAGGGATGCAAATGGGGTCCATGGGGTCTAGATTCAGGATCTCTTTCCATGTTCTGGGGTCCGGATCTGTGGTCTGTAAACCCAAGTCATAATCGAATTTAACATCATATTCAAATATCTTCCTCGTTCTCCCGGACTTACCCTGCTTCCAGACCCACTCTTTCAGGCTGAATTCGAGGTCTGAAATGTTGAGGTCCGGTTGGAAGATTTTCCAGGGCTTGGCCTTTGAGACCCTCCCTTTTCTCGGTCGGAAGGCTTCTAGTATGTCGCACTGGGGTTCTTTGTTCAGGATTTCCAGCTCTTGCAGGCTGTGATTAGCGATGGGGTACGAGTAGAATTTGGATAAGTAGCTGAGTGGATCAATTTGAGAGACAAACTGATATGCTCTGGTAGGCTGGGAGATGAGTATTCCCCAATCCCCGGACCTCCACGACAAATCCTCCCTTAGAAGGGAGAGCCACTGTGTTGGAATGCTCTTCTGAATCAACGTTAGGTTTTCAGAAAGGGAGTGGCAGCCATTTAAATCATGTCAGAGCTCCTGTACTGTATACCATCATCCTCCACCTTCTGCCCAAATGTGTTTCACCTGCCACACCCCTTTTTCTACCCAGGACAGCCATCTCTGGTCCTTTGTGTGTAGTGTCCACGGCATTCCACTAGGGTTTATGATACAGGGGTTGCAGAAAAGAGGTGGTCTCAGGACGTCTTCTCTGTTTCCTGGTGTAATGTGTTTGCTTGGCATCATTCCGCACCAGGCTTTGATGGTAGGGCTCCAATATGAGATAGCTGTTTGGGTGGGGGTTGTAATGATCTCTGTTGGGTTTCTTCTGCAAGGTCTGCCTGATTTGATTGTCCAGTCCTTCTCCATTAGCCAGAAGAGGCCTCTCATATTCGGGGGAGAGTTGATAGGTGCCAGGTTTCTGATGCTGTCCAGAGCCATCTGGGTCTATCGAATGAATTGTCTAATCAGGATCTTGATAACCCATTTCATCTGCAGTACTATGGACTCCTGTTTGGGGTCAATTAGCCCAAGGCCCCCCTCCTGTGGTTTCCTAATAATGTGGTTTCAGACTATCCTGTTGATAAATTTGGTCCTATTGGGATCTCTTGTCCATAGATAACATATCGCCCTGTTCTTTAACGTCTTGAGGTCGTCGTCAGGGGGAGACCAGATGGAAGCCATGTACCACACTGCGGAGAAGATTGTCGTGTTAATAAGTAGGGCTCGTCCAATTAATGAAGCCCGAGCGTTGTTGCATGGGGCCAAGCGGGTGATTTCCCTGGCAACTAGGTTCTGACCCATTCCAGGCCATACCACGTCCTTGTTAACCATGATACCAAGGAAACGTAGTGCTTGATCTCTCGCCGTCCACGACATGGGTGTGGCTGTATCGGTTGGTTGGGGAGGGGTGCCGTCTACTAGCCACCAACCTTCAGTTTTACCCCAATTGACCTTCATTTTTTATGCCAGTCTGAAGGCTTCCATCGCTCTTACGAGGGCTTGGAAAGAGCAGTTATTGGCGCAGATGAAGACAATAAGGTCATCAACGAACATTAGTGCACTGAATAGAGTGAAGTCGTGTAATGGATTGAAGTTGCGTTCAGTAAGGCGGTCGATAGAAACGTTTTTCTGAAGGAAGGAAGCTATGGCTTCCATAATGAAGAGGATTATGGGCGGAGCCAATGGGTCGCCTTGTTTGAGTGATCTTGATATCGGGTAGGTCTACAAAAGTATCCTTTTGACCTGGACTCTGCCTGTTGCGTCTGAATAAAGGACTTTCACCCAATCTCTGAAGTTCGGGCCTACCCCCATTTTCTAAGTCGTAGGCCTTTTTGAAGTTAAAAAACAGGATTGCAACCTTCATTCGTTTTTTTGCGATCTTCTTTGCTGCCTCATTCAACGTCATCACGTTGTCTAGTATGTACAGGCCCGGGATTAAGCCTGCTTGGTCGATGTGAAAACATTTGTTCGTTAGTTTTGTGATTTTATTCGCAAGAGCCTTGGCGAGGATTTTGTAGGGGGTGGTGAGTAGTGATATGGGTCTGTAGTTCTTTAGGTCGTTTTGTCTCCTTTCTTATGCAGCAATGATACCACATCGGTGCTTAGTTCATTGCCTAGGTCTCCTTTTTGTCTGTTGTCGTTGAAAAACTCGAGTAGGTTCTCTCCTAGGGTCGGCCAAAAGCAGTTCCAAAATTCTTTTGAGAGGCCGTCAATGCCCAAAGCTTTGTCATTTCCCATCTGGGTCAGGGCTACGTGTAGCTCATCTAGTGTTAGGGGCTTGTCTAGGCCTTCTGCTTACGTTATCGAGATCGTCTTGTCCAGGTATGACAACATGAGTTGATGGGCTGCTAAGTTCGCTATGGTTGGGGGTGAAGGTGTCTTCGATTCGTATAGGTCTGCGTAGAATGCTCTGGCTATCCTAACCATCTCTCAACATGCTGTTTTGATGTTCCTTTGATTTGTTGGGTCTTTCAGGCCCTCTATCATGTTGTTCCTTGCATTCACTTTGATTCTGGAGAAGAAGAATTTAGTCATGGATTCGTTGAGTGTGTAGTTTGTCATCCTTGCGTGTAATTGCAGTCCTCTCAGCTCCCATCTTCTCCATTCGTTTAGTTCTTCTTTGGTATCTGCTAGTAGTTCCGGGTAGAATTCGCTAGAGGGGTCCTCTGCCAGGTTAGATTCTGCAACTGAGATGGTGAATTGGAGTTCCTCCCTTCTCCTTTTGCAGTCTCCAACTATGCCTCGTGATTCTACTGATACTGTTTGTGTTAGTTCCGCGTAACTGCCTATGAACCATTGGTATCTATTTGTCATTCTGAACTCTCGCTGTTTATGGAAGGACGAATTTTCTTTGACAACAACCGACAGCCTCTCGGTTGTTAAGAGGGAGTTGTTCAGCCTGGAAAATCCCTCTGACCTATCTACTGATACTGTTTGTGTTAGTTTTGCGTAACTGTCTATGAACCA